CTCCGTAATCAGAACACACAAATGGGCCATGGCAGGGAGCTGGTATACCAAGCAAGTTTGTCAGAGTTCCACTGGGTGTGGGGAGAGAGTGACATAGGGGGTGTTCCCATGGATAGAATGCTGCATTTGAGGTAAGCATACATGGGTTCAAATCCAGCTCCACCACTCACTACCTGAGTAATCGGTTAAATAATTGGTTAAACTTCCTAAGCCTCAGTTTCCTCATCTAAAATATGAAGTGGTTAAACCAAGCAACCATTAAGGTCCCTTTCAGGTCTTGATCTATGATCCTGTGAAGGTCAGAACTGAACTAGATTCTCTTTTCCAATTGAATATTCTATCCAGAAAACATAATTGTAAACTCTGCAAGTAGTTCATTTAAACTGAATTCAAAGTGTGGTGCAGTAGAATGAATACTGGACAAGAGCTCTAAGGTCTCAGCTCTGCCATTAATTTTGTGACCTTGAGAAAAATCATTTAACCTCTCTGAGAATCAGTTTCCTCATATGTAAAATGAGAAGGTTGTATTATATAAGCCCTAAGGCACTTTCCAGGCCTAAAAATTCTGTTAATTCAAATTCTTAGATCAATGTAAGAATAACAATTCACATTTATACAGCACTTTGAATTTTTAAAAGTGCCTTCCTCACTACAGCCCTGTAGTGAAGATAATAAAAGTCTTATTATTCCCATTTTACACATGAGGAAACTGAGGCCTACAGAGATGAAGTAGTTTATCCATGATTATACTACACGGTAGTAAAACGTCAGATCCAAGATGAGACCCACGCACCTACTGCAGGTCCAGTGTTCTTCCAACTACTTCACAATACAAAGAAACCACCTATCTAGTGATTTAACAAAAACTGCTTTTTCTTTTTCCCTGCCCTTTACCATAGCATAGCAAGTGAAACCATCTCTGTGTAGTAAAGTGAACCTTTCATACTCCACAACAAAATCTTGGGGTTTGATTTGAATTTTGTGGCTAAATTTGGATCAGTTTTTTTTTTGTCTTCCAAACCCATCTGTCCCCATCACAGCTTCTGTCCATGGTGCTGATCTCTTTTTCTCACAGTGAAAGCAAAGGAAAAGTTCTTCAGTGATTCTGAGCCAACACAAGTTTTGACTAGGTTATAGGAAAAGTCAGATGGACATTAAAAAGCCCAAAAGGCAAGTAGTCCCTAAGGAAAAGGAACTCTGGCGCTGAGAGAATGTGACTAAAAAATAAAATTATGACAAAGGGGAAATGTGCAGAAGGCATGAAAGATGAAAAGTTAATGATAGCTGTCCAAATGAGATTCCAAGAAAGTGGAAAATTTTCTTCAATATTTGAGTTTCTATTCAGGCAAAGGACATGCTCTGTTTCACAAATTCAACACTCCAGCCGAACAATAATACTGATTATTCCCTGATTTCATCATACCCTCTCCCATACCCAGACCTTTGTTCACATTATTATCCAAACCTAGAATGCCCCTTTCCTCATCCCCAGGCCAAGAACTAAAAGTTCCCTCTAGTTCTAAATCCAGTGATCCATATGACCCCTGGACTACCACCCTAATTCTACTGCACTTTGACCTTTAAGTAGCAGTGTGATACAGTGGAAAGATTGTTGGCCTTGGTTTAAGTTTAAATCAAAGCTCTGACATTAATTGGTTGTATGGCCGTGAGGAAGTCAACTAACTTCTCTGAGACAATGTCCTCAACTGTGAAATTTGAGTAATTATACCTAACAAGGTTGATGTAAGAATAGTATTTAGTAAACCTCAACTACATATGAATTACAGTAAGTGTCAATCTCACTCACTCCTCAGAAAGAGTAATTCCATGGGACATTAGGACTGAATGTGGAAGTTCAGGTCAAAAACATAAACCAAACTTCTCAGGGTATTGTTATGCACCTTGAGAGAAATTAGTTCTTTGAAAGTTCAGCTTACAGCATCATTTTTAATATCATAAATATGTAAGTACTAGGAAAGCTTTGATCATGACTTTGCCAAGCCCTACACTGTCTTATCCACTCATCCTTCCAGCTAGAAACAGTAATGATCATGATGATGATGATGATAACTCCCAGTTATGTAGTACTTTAAAATTCACAGGAGTTTACAAAGTGTCTTCCTGACAACACTTTGAAATATAATATCAATAGCTAGCATTTGTATAACACTTTCAGGTTTGCAAAGCACTTTACACATATCAGTTCATTTGATCCTCACAACAATCCAGTGAGGTGTATATTGTTATTATACCTATTTTATGGATGAGGAAACAGAGGTTGAAAGAGGTTTAATGATTTGCCCAAGGCCACACAGGTAGCAAGTATCTGAGGCAGGATTTGAACTTAGGTCTACCTTGTCTCCAAGTGCTCAACTCTATCAACTACACCATTTAGTTCCCTGTAGTTGTAATGAGATACTTCTCTAGTGCCTGTACTTGCTTCTCAACTTGTGTCATCAATATGGGATGCTCACTCTTGAAAACTCCTATTCCATCATCAAATAAATAGTGTGCATTTTTACTTGCTCTCTCTCAGGTTATCAGTGGTCTCTTAATTGCTAAATCTAATCCTTATCCTTCATGATGTCTCTGTAGCTTTGGACATTGTTGATCACTCTCTTCTTCCAAACACTCCCTGTTCCCTGGGTACTCGTGACATTGCTCCCTTCTGGTTCTCCTCCTACCTGTCTGACCATACCTCAGTCCACTTTGTTGTATCATCTGTGTCCCTCTACCCCTGCATGGATGAACCCCAGGACTCTCTTCTAGTTCCTCTTCCCTTCCTTCTTTACATTCTCCTTCTTGGTGATGTCATCAGCTCCCATAGTTGCAGATGACTTTCAATCTACATAGGCAACCTTCGTCTCTCTCTTGAGCGTCAGTCTTCCACCACAAAATGCCTACTAAACACTTTCAACTGAATATCCCGTAGTCATATCAAATTTAACATGTCTAGAATGGAATTCGCTGTCTTTCTCCATTGAACCTATTCCTCCTCCAAACTTCTTTATTTCTGCGAAAGATACCACCATCTTTCTTGTCACCCAGGTCTGCAAACTGAGTCATCCTGTATTCTTCCCTCTAGCAATTCTACATTCATATTTCTCAAATTTATTCCTTTCTCTTAACTCACACATCTATCACCTTAATTCACATCCTCATCTCTCACCCAACCTATTGTAATAACCTCTTACTTAGCCTTCCTACCTCCAGTCTCTACTCCCTCTAATCCCACTGTGCAGTTGCCAAATTAATATTCCCAAGCATAGGTATGACCATTTCATTCTCCAGCTCAAGAAGCTTTAGTCGCTTCTAATCACCCCTAGCATAAAATATAAACTTATCTGACATTTAAATCACTTCACAATCTGGCTTTTTCCCTGTCATTCCAAACTGATTTCATATACCTTCCCATTCAATCCAAACTGGCATATTTAACATACTCTGTACACAAAATTCTATCTTCTGCCTTTACATAAGCTATCCTTATACCTAGAATGCTCTCATTATACATTTCAGCCTTGTGGAATCCACAGTTCTCTTAAAGATTCAATTCAAGTGCTTACCACCTACATATCTTCCAGATCTAATTTTTACTGCCCTAACCACCTATTCCTCCAAATGTTTTGTAATAATTTTGTACAAACTTTGCATTTAGTTATCTGTATGTGTGTTGTATCTCCCAATGGGATGTAAGCTCCCTGAAGACAGGGACTGTTTCTTGCTTGCCCCTATATCCCCAACTAACAATGCCTGACACATGGTGGGTGTTCTATTAACATCTATTGAATTGAATCAAATGTTAACCTCCACAGCAATGTGCTTTTTTCTTTTCACCTCTCTCCAAGTTTGCTTCTTCTAAGGAGGTTTTTTATGGCAATATTTACCTACTGCATATTCCAGCAGGAAGAGGACAGTCATCAAAAAGAAATACAAAATAAATTAATAGCCAATGTGTTTGTCTGATGTGTCTGTGACTTTTACCAGATTCATTTTGTATTATGAACCTCTACAAAAGGAGTAGCTGTGTGGGACAGTGAATTTTCTGAAGTGTCCAGTGGCTCTGGATTCAGAGGGTTTTGTGTGTGTGTGTGTGTGTGTGTGTGTGTGTGTGTGTGTGTACGTGTATGTGTGTGTGTTCAGTATTTTTCAGTTGTGAATCAGAGGACCTGTGTTCAAATCCTACCCCTGATATTTATTATTTGTTTCACCTTGGGCAAATCATTCATCATCCTCCCCACCTCATTGTTTTCATCTATAAAATGAGGGGATTCGATTAAATAACACCTGAGGTCCTTTTAACTCTAAATCAATGCCTTCTGATCTTTAGAATGAGAACTGTAATTTTCTTTAAGGATGCACTCTCATTGGCAAAACAAATACAAAAGAAATATGAAAACTATCCCAAATTGGTGTGTCTATACCAATTCACACACAAAAAAAATTGGCTATAGAAACAAATACTTACCTCAGAGATCTACCCTTAGGCTGTTATAAAACAACTGAACTAAGATTACAATTATACCTGAAGGTTAAGGTGTGCTTGTGAGTATAAATGTGGTTAACATCTGGTGATTCCCTTAAAAACAATCATTAGAATGATAATAAAAAACCTTACTAGCTGTATGACCCTGGATAAGTCACTTAACCCCAATTGCCTCACCAAAAAGCAAAAGCAAAAAAAAAATTATAATAAAAACAATAGGAATAGTAGGAAATAATAGGAAAATATATTCTGATGCAGAAAATGGAGGTCAGTCTTAGAATTTTAGAACTGGAAGAAAATGTAATGATCATCTAGTTTCGCCCTCTAATTGTACAGATTAGAAAACTGAGGCCTGGGGAGGTTGAACAGCTGCATGCATGATGTTTCATATCTCATTGGCATTACCACATACCAACCACAATCTAATAAATGAAAAATATTCCTTCTTTTCTTCCTGGGTCATTTGTTTGTTTGTTTGTTTTGCCCAGCCATGACTCCCCTGGAGTGTCCTTACCTTCCAGCCTTGGTAATGATCATCTCTGTCCCAATGTCATGGAACCTTTTCCAGAGGTCGGCACATTGGAGCTCAACCTGTATCTCCTCCATGGATGAAATGGGGGGAGGTGGGGGACCAGGAGCACCTGAGGTAAGATCCGGGTGAGACTCAAAGGAACAAGATGTCCTCTCTGTGAGCACTTCCGTGTCTGAACCAGTGCTCTGCTCTGAGTCTGCAAAACAAACACCAAACTATAGGTGAGAAGTTCTCATGGCCTTGCCTTGTGATGGAGGGGATGGAAGGAGGGCTGAATGAAAGAAATCGGGATGCTCCAGAGCACAGCACTCAGAATATTTTTTTATGGTCTGTTGCTATAATTTATGGCCTAGTTTCAGGTTTCGTGTTTCCAACATGACATCTGGCATTTTAGTAAGTTTTAGCCAGAGCTGAACAAAATTGTCCACATCACAAGATATAAAGAGTAGCTAATGTCATTGCATTGGAAAGAATAAAGCATAGGGCATGGGATAAGCAGTTAAATACAAATCAAAAGAAAAGTTTTAATTGATTTGAAAACCTATATAGACACTTTACGGGCCAGGGGGGCTGGGACAGGGAGGGCATGCACAGAATTCTCTTGCATCCTGCTCAACTGCATCCCAATCCAGGCCACTATGGGTAAATTAGCTCCTCTACACATTATCCCACATCCCAAGCTCAATGTCATGAACATCCATACAACATAGGATGCTCCAGGGCCTTCAGACATCCTATGTATCAGATCTGTTTGTATAAGTTCCATTTTCTGAGAGAATGGCTTTTTCTGGAAGTTCAATAAGGTCATTTTTGATGAAGAAAGGGCTGCTGGCTGTTGCAAGGCAAAGGGGGCAATAAACATATGGAATTAGTTACGCGGGAAGGCTGTTGAAACAACGGGTATAAATGAGTTCAGGAGACACCTAGATTGGTTTCTGAAGTATGGGGAGAGAAGAAGGGGGCCCAAAATGGGAAGGTGGGTTTGAAAGCAACCAAATAAAAAGCTGGTATGCTGAGCCAGATGGCCATTTCCTCCTCTGACAGTATCATCTGTGCTGATAAAGAGAAGTTGGGGGAATAAAATCAACTGGTGGGGAAGGCTGGGGTCAAACTTAATAGAAAAGTTGATTTGTGGTAAAATGTAAAGAATGGGCAGTTCAGAACAATGGTTCTCCCCAGTGGCCAGAGAATCTCAGCATTTTTCAATAATAATAATTTTAATAAGAATTCACATTAATATAGCATCTTAAGATTCACAAAGTGTTTTCCACAATGATAAAAATTAACATTTATACAGTCCTTTAGAAGTTGGCAAAATACTTTACATCTATTATCTCCTTTACATATACTAACTCCCAGTGAGTTGAGTGCTATTATCTATTATCTCCATTTTACAGATGAGGAAACTGAGGCAAAGAGGTTAAGTGACTTCCCTAAGATTACACAGCTAGTATCTGAGCCAGAATTTGAACTAAGGTTTTCCTGACTCCAATTCCAGCACTCTATTCACTCTGGCAACAACTTGTGAGGTAGATAGTACAAGTACTAATTTCTCCATTTTAACAAGTTCTCCATTTTGCAGATAAGCAAACTGAGGCTGGCTTGCCAGAGCTAAGTGCCAGAGCTAAGACCAAACCTGAGGTTTCCTAACCCCTAACTTCTAAGCACCTTTGTGTGGAGGTCATTTAAAGCATGAAGGTCACCATTGGTGGATATTTTCCTGCTTCCTGGCTCAAGGCCCCCACCCCATTTCCTAAAACAACGTCAGTACTGGACAGCCAAATTCTACCTTTATGGTATGCAAGCTACAGCATATCAGAGACGAGTTTATTAGAGAAGCTACACAGAGAATAACAAAGATAATCAAAACCACAGCCTCCTCAAATCAGGGCTTCTGGGAACCAGGAAGCCAAGGCTGCCTGTCTGGTTCCAGCTGAGAATGTAGGTTTTCTGGGGCTGGGGAGAGGAGGACAGAGAAATGATGTGAAGTCATATAATGGTAACACAAGGTAGGAAGAGATGGAGATGAAGGGGTTATCCAAACAGAGCAATATTTGAGAAGGAAGAGAACACTTTGATAGGAAAGAATAAGGAAAGATTCTGTGTACATGTACACACACACACACACACACACACACACACACACACACACAGTGGCAACTGAGCTGAGACTTGAAGGAAGATAAGAACCCTGAAGCACAGGGATGAGGAAGGACTACATTCCAAGAATGAAGACACATCAACTGAGGTGAAAGGTGGCATGTTGAATTCATAGACCTGTGTCTATTTGGGTTAGAATTTTAAGAGCACAAAGAAGAATGAGAAATAAGGGTAGAAAAGTAAGTTAGAGTCAGACTGCATAGGGGGTCATAAATGAAAGGATGAGTAGCTTGAATTTTATCCTAGAGGCAATCAGGGGCCACCAAAGTTTTTGGAGTAACACAGTCAGAATTATAAAATGGAAAGATTATTTTTTGTAAGCTGGATTGGAAAAAAGGAGAGAGAATGGAAGCAGGTACAAGTTAGAAGGCTGTCACAATTGTCTAGCCAAGGTGTGGTAGGTTCCTGATATATATGATATGTCCCTGTCTTCAAGGAATTTATAATTTAGCTGAGAAGAAAAGAAATAATATATGAGCAATAATATAAAAAGATAATATATACTTAGATGCTAAATATGTGATAATAACTAAAGAAGTCCTCAGTTAGTGGGCAACAGATACCTTGTGACTAGCAAGCTGTATTTATATCAGAGTGAAGGCCATTTTCAGATGAAGTAATTTACCTCCCTATGCTGGGAATAAAACCAAATATTCTTGGCTCCTAGGTTTCTACTCCATCTAAAAGATCACACTCCCTCATTGGAAAAAAAAATGACCTGGTAGGCTTTACATTCAGAATACGGGCTCTATGCCACTTTTGTTACTTTGCTTTGCCAGAGTGTTGCCATTAAGACCAGAAGAACTTTCCAACAGTGTATCAATATACCTTTTACATTTTTTTTAACTGTTACTGGAAAAAACTGGACTTTTCAGCTTGTATGGACTTCATAAAGCTTCATTGGAAAGGCCAAGGTCAGCCTCTGGGGTAAACCAAATAATGTTATCCAGTAACAGTTAACACTTACATAGCATTTTAAGGTTTGCAAAGACATGATATATAGATGTAGATGTAGATATAGATATATAGATATATAGTCTGATTAAGAAATATTTGCAAAACACTTAGCATAAGGCCTGGTGTATAACAAGCGCTTAAGAAGAAATGCTTTCCTTCATTTGGACCTAATAACAACCCAATGAAATGGGTCCTATTGTTATGTCCATTTTACCGAGGATGAAACTGGAGGAGTTTAAATGACCTAAGGTTACACAACTAATAAGGGTCTGAGGTAGGATTTGAATTCAGATCTTCCTGATTCCATGTCCAGCCCTCTATCTATGTGGCCACCAAGCTGTCCTCTTATTGTAATTAGTTTCAGATTTGTTATAATATTACCTCCTAATCTTAAAATGGGAGAAAACTTGGACAGGTCCTACTCAAAGTACCCCATAATTGGTACCATCTTCTTTTTCACCTTGTTTCATTCTAAGCCCTTTCCCTTCGATTTTCATATAGTCTGCATTCTAGCTAAATCAAACTACTTGACACCCACTTTGATCACACTTCACGTTTTCTTGCCACCAATGCATTTGCTCATACTGTTCCCCTGACATCAATCAACAAGCATTAATTAAACAATTCCCGTGTTCCAGTCACTGTGCTAAGAATTGGGGGGTGCAAAGACAAGAGCGAAACAGCCCCTGCTCTCAAGGAGTTTACATTCTATTGGGGGAAACAGCATATACATATATAATTCTTATAAGAATACAAGGTGACTGGGGAGAGGAATCCCTAGCCACTGAGGGCATCAGCAAAGACCTTGTGTAGGAAGTGGCTCAAGGTTTTTGATAGGTACCTTTCTCTTTGCTCCTCATTTCAGTTGAAATCCTATACTCATCCTTCAAGACCAGTCCAAGGGTCGTGAACCCATTGCTGAGCTCCCCTTCCTCACACACACAACTCAATTTGGAAACTATCTTTCCTTACTCTCAGGGTTCTAGGCAACTCTCTAGGACTATAATTTGCAAAGAAGTTACCAACTTTTATTGGTAGAGGGAACACCCTCACCCACAAGTTCCCTATACCAAAGAAAAAAACTTGTCCCTATTCTTATCCCTAAACCTTGCATAGATATGTATCACTTTTAGACACTTCTCATGTTATATATATATATATATATATATATATATATATATATATATATGTATTTATAAATACACATTGACTAATGTTGTTAATGAGTTCTGTGAAAGGTCATCATTAGGTGAACATCATTATAGAGGCACTTAATTCCATAGGAATGATCCATGATGTTACAGTAGAATTTCATAGCCTTAACGTGATGTTTGTTTATAATGTCATTAACGACTGTATTTAAAAATGCGATTTGATTCAACAAGCATTCATTAAGGCCTCCTACAATATGCCAGCTGCTGTTCTGGGAATACAAAACCAAAAATGAAATAGCCTCTTTCCTCAGGGAGCTTGCATTCTACGTGAGAATTATCAAATGAACTCAGCTAAGTTAACACAAACGTACATAGAAAATAAAGCAACTTATTGTCACATAGAGAAGCTAGCAATAACATCTGGAAGGATCAGAAAAGGCTTCATGGGGAAGGTAGCACTTGGACTCAGCTTTTAATAGTGCTAGGGATTGTAAGACTGAGAATGGAATGCATTCCAGGCGTGGAGGACAGCAGCTACAAGGTCAGAAAGCTACATTGGTCAGAGAAATGTTATGCAAGGTATGCCTATATTTTATATGAGTTATTTTTGTGTTATATACTTCCCTACTCTGTTGTAGCAAAACTCTTTTTTTTTTCATTTTGTCCCCTTACCTAGTTCTCGTATAACAGGCACTCAATGACTGTTGAACTGAACTGAACTCGAATTGAATCGATCCGAATGTCACACTGCCAAGGCTGATCCATGAGTTGCCAACCACACTATAACATGATCATTAAAATTAAATCATGAAAAGAAAATTTAGAATAAATTAATAGAATTGCCATGACATTAACAAGGCCATAAAACTCTATCAATCAAATTGGAATAACCGTGAGACTGATCACTCCTCTTTATCTAGCATGT